TCTATATTAAAAAATCTAAGTCTCTTTTTAGAATAAAGATTTTCCGCAAGTATAAAAAAAAGTCTTATTAAATTTAAAGCGTATAGATTTAAAGATATCTTATTATAAAAACCTAAATCTTTTTTTCAGAGCCATATTTAAAAATAAAAAAAAATAATAAATTAATTCTAATATTTAAATCTTATCTATTATTATTAGAAGCACGAGCTTATTTATAAATCTTATTTTTCTAATCTAATATAAAAAAAAAGTCTTTTTCTAACTTTATAAATTAAAATCCTACTTCGAGAACTTTCGTATGTTATAGTTACTAATTTATAATTATTTTAAATATTTAAAACAGAATTACTTTAACTGTAATAATAATTGCTACTATAAATCTAAGCATCCAACTAATATAAAAGATATATTCTGAATTTTTTAAAAAGTAGGAGTATTATAAAAATATACTTTTAAATATAATTAATTATACTAGAATATTTTAGATCTGAGCGGCTTAAGTATATATAACCACAGTAAGTACTAAAAAATATTTATAATTTACTACTTTCAGTACAGTTTAAATGTGATGAGTTCTAAATTCCCGCATATAAAGCCGCTCTTTTTTAAAGGATCTATCTGTCCGATTACGCCTAACAATACCGTTATCAAATATTTCGACGTTTTCCATTATCATATCGGTACTGATAGATTACTGAGTCTGGATTACTGGCCTAAGTATATATAAAAAGACCTTTCCGGTTCTAGAATAATAAAAAAGTAATCTAAAAACAAATATTATATATCTAATAATAAGACTCAGACCCCTTCCAGGGTCAATCCTTTTATTTTTAAAATACTATACAATATTATAAAGCAGATTTTTAACTTATTATTTTATAACTTTTTATAATATTTTTTAATTAATATATATTTCTTTAACAGCTATCTTAGCCCAGCATATCTTTATTTATTCTAATAAAAAAACAGTCTAGAACTTCTCATTCAACAACGGCAGAAGCTTTATTAAAATCTGTTACTAAAAGACTAAATAATTTTAAAAGTTTTTTAAAAGATAACCAGATAACTATTTTATATATATTTATTTAAATATAAAATAATACAGACTGAAGAACTGTATATTTCTTAGCAGAAAACAGTAAATCATAATACAGACTTACTGTAAGTAAACTTTTTAAACAGCTTCTTACTATTAAATATCTTACTATAAACTATAAAATATAATTATAAATTATTAAAAAAGGATCTAAAATAAATACCTCTAAAGATCATCCTAAGAATTATAATCTTTACAGATCTTTTTTTAAAAGAAAAAAAACTGCCTACTATCTTTCAGATTAAAGATTAGATTAAATATAGCCAGAAGCTTCTTTAAATTAAAAAAATATTAGCCTAGCAAAGGCTTCGCTCGCTCTTATATTTGTTCTATTTAAATTTTTATACTTTTATAAAGCTTAGATTATTAAATTAATTTGCTTACTGAATAACAGCTATTTTTTTAAAATTATACAAATAACGCTTCAGATCTCTCTATAGTATCTGATTTATATTAATATATATAGAAAAATGTTAGATCTGATATCTTTTATTATATCTTTATCTAATTTTAATCTAATAATATTAAGTTCTTTAAATACAACCAGCCTAATTTATATATAATCGCTCAGACTAATAAGTCAACAACAGCCTTACAGCCACAGCCTAGATTTTTATAAATAATAATATTTTAGAATTTTTAATATTTATTATTATTAATAGTATTAAAAATCTCTACTAAACTATTCGAATGCCTCTTTTTAGTAAAAGATATATATAAAGTGCCTTCTCTATAAATAAATATTGCTTGGTGCTTACAATTATTATATATATATTTTTATTCTAACTAAACTCAAATTTTTTATTAATTTAATAATAGAATATTATATAAAGTTTAAATAATCTATTATCCCACTCCGCGGACTTATCCAGCGGACGGAAGACGAATACAGTATTATATAATAAATATATTTATATTATCTGCTTGGTTTTATTATTATTTTTAAAGTCGATAATCGCAGGCCTTTATTTAATAATTTTACTAAAATCCGTATTAAATCTTTTTATAAGAATATTTTAAAATTATTATTATTTTTAGTTCAACCGGCTAGTCGAATCTGTAGAGATATATTTTATAATCTAATATTAAAAATATTTTATATTTATTTTCTTCTTTACAGTAATTAAATATTAATATAGAAAACTTTTAATTCTTTTTAAAAATCTTATTTACTTTCGCTATTTTTTTATCAGTAGGCGTTTTATCATCTATATACAGATAACTAAAATATTTTATTATATAAAAAATAAAATCAAATAAGATAAGCTATATTTTTATAAATAAATTTTCTTACCGGTAACTGTCAGCTATTCCGACAATAATATAATAACTAATAATAAAAGTATCGAAGTAGTTGGTTTTAATATTTTAGTATAATACTAATTAAATATTAGTAAATTAGTAGCCATTACAGAGCAGATTCTATTATATAAATATTTTAAACAAATTATTTGTTTGTTAAAACAGTAAATATTATATATGTATACAGTAAAGCAATGCCTGACGATCTAAAATACAGATAAATAATATTAGTAGTTTTAAACTGTATATAGACGCTCTGAATATATACGAATACTTTACCAACAGTCTAAATCAGTCTGTAATTATCTGCGGATTACAGGCATACTACTTAAAAAAATTATAACATGCCATTGAAGTATATAGAGCTTAAAATAGAAAGCAGATGTGATTAATAAATCTAAAACAGCTTTTTACTAGATATACTACAGTCAAAGTACTTAGAAGTAAGAAATTTATATTTAGAATAGTATATTAAAGTCTTGCTTCTTTCGTCAGATTTTATATCTTACTTATAATATATACATCGGTACTTTATCTTTATTATACTTAAAAACTAAATTTATATATCCCATCTTATCTATAATTCTAATCTGCGCCTTATTCGGACATAAATCTATAAAACTCTATATAAAAAAAAATATAAGAAGGATACTAATTTATATATAATAGTTCTAAATACACTAAAAGCCGCAGCGTTGAACAGTTTTCCAGCTATAAAAAACCTCGTTTAAAAAATAATATTAAATATAAAATAATCTACTTATTATATTAAAAGCCTTCCAGAAATAGTTTTCTTAAAAAAGAGAGTAAGATACAATCTTAAACCTCTTATTAACAAAAATTAAATAAAAAAAGACATATTCTTACTGATATCTTGCAGCGGCCCGTAATCTGTTTCTTCTAAATAAAAATTAAAAGTTCTAGTTATTACAGTACTATATTATAAAAGAAAAAATATTAAAGAAGAAACCTTTATAATAAAAAAAATACTTATTTAAAGACCGACTTTCTTAATTCTTAGATAGATATTGCAAAGCTGTATATATTTACTTTTATAATAATAAAAAGGCTTTCGACTCTCCGAATCTGCAAAGTATTCTATAACTATTTAAAATTAAAATCTCGCGGCTATTTTAAAACAGACAGTACTTACTTTAATTATTAGAATTTAAATTAGAATAATCCCAGCTGATAAAAAATATATTATAGTTGAAACTATTTTATACAACACTCTTAAGAAAAGCGATGCTCGAGTCTCACTGTCGCTCTAAAAGGTTATATCTATTATAAGCTGCAGAAGGGGCTTGAAAAGACAGTATACCTAAAGCCTGTGCAATCGGAAGTAATATTAAAAGCACAGAGATATTATAATAAGAATACTTTATAAAAATCTTTTACTGCTTTTACTATAGTTTATTACTACTATTATATATATCTACTGCCTCCGTTGTTGACAATCGAGCATCTGGTATTTGCCAATCAGATTATCAGCCCGGTCAGTCTAGTCTCATCACCTCTAAAAAATATATTTTTTAAAAAGTATTAAATAAATTTTAGCGGCAGCTGATACTCTATACAGTATTATTTTATTAGACAGACATAGTTCCGTATTATTAACCTAAATTCTTTTAAGATGGTTCGACTAGAAGTAAGAACTTATATAATTTATAATATTAAGCAATTATCAGGCCTTTTAATATAGCAAACAGGCCTCGAATAAATTAGACGCTCAGTTTATATTAAAATCTGCCTGTTTTTAAATAACTAATTTAATCTTATTCTTATTTATCGGATCTTCTGAAGTTATAGCTTACATCAATATCTCAGACAAAGAGTTTAATAAAAATATATCTATAACCTTTATTCTTACTATAAAAAAAATATAAACTGAAAACAGTATCTCGAAGAGCTTAAATACTTTTAATTATTAAACTCAGCTGGTTTTTTTAGATATTAAGCGAAACTTCAAATCATACCAGTTATATAATACTATATACTCTAGTCTTATTCTTATTTAAGAGATGACCTTCGCAAAGATAGTTTATTTTTATTAATATAGTATATACTGAGTCATGTTCCAGACACAGCTATTTTTTATTAGTAGATCTTTCTTTTCGGTCTTCTATTTATCAAATATTATATCTAAAAAACATCGGCTCAAGTATTCTAAAAGCCAGTAGGGCTATATTTTAATTAGATTATACCTGAAATCAACTTAATCAGAAATAGATTAGCATATATTTTCTCTATTTTCTTATTTTATTTCCTCATTCCAGACTGACGCATGGTCCAGCTATTATACGGATATGCACAATTACTATCTTATATTTAAAAAAAAAGAATTAGGGCGAAGACTGGGACGCATGCATACGAAGCATGCAATGTCTTTCTTAATAGCAATATAACTGTATGTGAATAATGCAACAATCACAGCAACATCACATCGCAGCTAACCTATCTATTACACTATATAATAAACGCTTTGGTGATGTGCCTCCTATATATAAAGAAGATGGATGTTCATAGTTAAGGAAATTTTTCAATCACTTCTATTCGTATGATTTGTTCCATACGTCTGATATCCTGATAATCAAGCGTCAGTATATCTAAGGTTCTAGGTACTTTTGTTCAGAAGGTGCAGGGATTTAAAAATGCGTCCTCGAAGTTCACCAGCTCAGTCACTGAGAGCAATCGCATACTACCTTCCAGAAATAAAGATACTGATTTCCAGCTTCGTATTGACGCCGGTTATTATGATTCTACTTCGAAAGGTCTGAACGTGGTTCTACAAGTCAACTCTCAAGCAAAAAGTCCAGCTTTAAGAGACTGGGCCAGAAAAAACAAAACCCACACCAAGCTTGCAACTGCAACGTTCGACACAGCAGCAGTTAATAAAAATACCAAATTTCAGAAAGTACTTAAAGCCCTAGTGGCAGAGGGGAAAAGTAAGCTTGGCTAGAAGACAGTATATAATCCAAAGAAAATAGATATATTACAGGCAGGGATATTACTAATACATATACTCACCCTCTAATTTCAGATATCCCAATACAACCACTCTCCCAGCTCAACTCGAAACGGAAATCGAGCTCCGAAAGTAACATACATAAAGTTGCAAAGGCTTTAGACTGGTAGATAAAATGCGCATTACAGGGGCTTTAACTTCGACTTATCTGCTTGCTAGAACATATTCCGTACTCCTTAAATAGTGGCGAGATTAGGATGCATGTTTGTGGATGTCTGAAACGAATAAGGTTGTTTTAGTTATAATATAATCCAATGTCTACCATCAAATCTAATAATTAAACTGAGTGAATATATTATTACTACGTCCATCCGTTGTGATTTCTGACATTTATCTTATCTTAACTCGCCGACTAAAATAATTAATACTAAAGATACAAGCTACACTTACTGCTGCTGTAAAGCCAATACCGGCGCTGGCGCCTACGTTTCCGTTGGAAATTCAGAATTATTTTTATTTTAGGCAGAGATAGGCGACCCATATTATCAAAAGTTCATCTAAGATTTACAAACGACCAAAAGCTCAATTAAAATTCTTAATCTTGGTTCCTAGTACTATTAGGCATATTGTTAAATCAACTATAATCAACTTTTCAGTAGACCGCTGATAACTAACCAACTAGCTAGATTAGTAATTATAATAGCGGGAAAATGACTTAGAAGATCTTGTTACACTATAAGCTAACCCGTCTTGAGATTGCTTAATCCTGTAACTTAACTGGTTTCCTATAGCCAAATGAAATCAGAGTGTATAAATAAGGCTTGTGCGACCTTAGTCACCACCAGCTATCCTATAATTTCACTTTAAATATATATTCACGCCACCCTTTATGGACCCCAGATTTAAAATACCTTTATATCTTTCCAAATCAATCAGTCGTTATTAATTATTTCGATTTCCTTTATCTCCCCTATATGACATTTACTTCATTGCAAGAGCTGCTGCTATGCCGCCCATCTACAGATTTTAATATACAAAGGCTAATACAGCTTTCGGGTTTGACCCTTATACCTATACTAGTGGGCGGTGGCTTCGTGATAATTATTATGAACGCTCTTCACATTATATCGCATTTGATTTTGGCGCTTTGTGCGATAGGATCCTTCAGCTTTGTCCTGACGCGATTTCAATCGACAGCTGCAAAAAGCTCAAAAAAGGATTTAATAGAGTTTTTGTTTTCACCATAAACAACTCAAAACAGTTAGTAGCTAAGTTGCCATTCGTTCTTGCCGGACCGGCGCACTTAGTCACCAGTTCCGAAGTCGCTACTATTAGATACCGTGAGTCCTCAATTATAACACAGATTTACTTTACTAACAGAAATGCCTCTGCAGTACAATTAAAGACAAAAATTCCAATTCTACTGATTATTAACTGGAATAACAACACTAAATCTCCGGAGAATACCATCAGCAGCGAATATATTATTATAGAACATGCGTCTGATATTCAACTGAGCTAAGTATGAAATGACATAACTGATAACCAGCATATCAGATGCATAAACGCAATATTTCAGAAGATAAAAGATACTACTGATCTTAGGTTTCCCTCTTATAAAAGTATATACCTTTAAGACGGGCTTGTACATCCATTCGCCAGGCAGCCTCTTAACAAGGATTTTTGTATTAGACCACATTGTGGCAGCCGCTACTAGCCTCTCAAAACTAGGCAGCGCCTGAATTATGGGCCTTATAAGTTATTTAGTAACTTTTTTGCAACATGCCTTAATTGGAAAATTTGTACTAACATCAAATAGGGGACAACCTTAATAGCTTTTATAAAGGTCTAATCAACGCTGGGCTTACAAACCTTTCTGATTCTGTAAAAGACCTGGATTGAAAACCTTTATATTATGGATTTGTCAATCAACATACCGCGGTATTAAACTCGGTACTTCCAGTACTTAAGCAAATATCCTTAAATTTCTGTATCAAGCAATCTGCTTCACTGTTATTATTTCATCCAGATTTATATAAATGTAATATTTTTGTGTCAGAGGAAGACCCTACCATTATTACGGGTATTATTGATTGGCAAGGTGCGAGTATTAAACCAGCCTTTTGGTATTCAGATGATTTGCCAGATTTTGCTATACCCACCGATTCAGATAAGGATTTATATTACAAGATATATAAGACTTTGTCTTAGTATTATACGCCTGTGTTGTTAATGCCAAAATTAATAGATAAGAACCTTTTCCGTCTATTCCATTACAGCTACAGAACATGGAAGGATGGTGCCATAGCCTTACATTATAAGATAGTTAAAACAGCTTGAAACTGGAAGGGTTTGAATTTCAAAGATTAATACCTATATTTAATACCTACTTCTAACAGCCTTCTTAAATATAAAAGGGCTTATCGACTTTTCGTGGCGGCACAAAACCTAAGATATGATCTTTTAAATTTATTAAATTCAGCAAGTAACGGCTGGGTGCCTACAGAAAATTGGGAAGTAACACAAACAGTATACAAAAAAATCTTTGATGGAATGCTGCAGGCTGTTTTATCAAATCAGAATCCAAAAGACAATAAGCCTGTTTAAGATGAAGAAACTTTGCATTTAATATGGCCTTTTGACCTACCTTAATATATATAACTCTTTATTAGTATTAACACATCTTTAGTCAGGCGTCTTTACAATCACCATGCAGTCCTATTGGCCCATTCTATACTCTATGGCCCATTCTATACTCTAGGCGAATTTTATAATTCCTGTGCCATACATATGCGGTAGATGAAGATAGGCTATAGAGTTAAGTAAATTAAATCAGTAGTAGCAAATCTACTGTACTGAATGTCGGTTGCAATTTACCATCACAGTATTTTAAAGATAATGTATATATCGGTAATACTTATCTATAAAACAAGATTTTTAGAGTTATATAGCAATTGGTTCTCAGTAGTCACTAATTTAAGCCTGGAAACATTATTATTCCGAACAACACTAACTGCATATGAGTTTGAGAATTCGTGTTCACGACCACATTGTTCTACATTTATTATTGTTGTTGTTGTTCTTCAGTATATAAAGACTGGAGTCAGGACGATCTTCTTAATTTATCAGAAATTTCTTTATTCTTTGTTGCTTTTATAATATGGAATTAGAAAGGTCATCGAAACGGCTCGGGCTTATATTATTTGTATCGGTCCTATGATTTATGCTCTTCTTACCCCACCAAGCTCTCCCCTCATTACACCTTATTTCTACGTAGGACGGTACGAAGACTGTGAGAGTCTGTAAACTAACATCTAAGAATACTTAGTCTTATAAGTAAACTGTTTATTAGCTGACAAATATTTATATCAGCTCTATTAAAAATGAGTTGTTGATCAGCAGCCCAGGATGTAGCGCTTATACTAACTGAATATTTAATTACTAGATTTTCTACTTTCTTACCCCCAACAACCGATCTTATTATTATAACTCCTCAGCTATTTGCTCCTTATTATAATATGACAGTTGATTCCCGAAGGCTTGTTGAGATTATTAAGCCCTTAAGCTTATTAAATAGTCTGCTTATTTCTGCAAAATCCGATCTTTTTTACTGAGTTCCACCGAAGATTTTACAGCCTCCCTTATTAAAGATATCTCCACCGGATAACAGTATCGTCAAACTTATGAATATATTTTTTATAGAGTTTTCGGATGTGAGTTTGGAATATTTTGGATATTAAAAACTGTTAATAGCAGTTAAGATAATACGCGAATCATCATCAAGGGCCGGTAATACCTTGAAAGTTGTTTGGGACTCCGGAGTCCTAGAATCTGATTTAATAGGTCTTTCAAATATTACAACTTTCGTGATTATTTAAGCATCCGAGGTTGGTAAGATCAAAGTCGAGGCTGAGAAGAGAGCTGGATCTGAATTAATTAGCTGGATAAAAGGCTCAATCGCTATTATTAAAGATGCCGAAACTATTAGAATTACTAAAATAGAAAAGGTAATAGACATATTTATCAGCTATAAATTACATCCTGCACTATATCAAAGAAAAACCCTTATATTAGGCACATATCATTTTCTGATACATTGTAAATAATAAATTATTCTGGTTTCTCCATCTAAGCTACTTAATTAACTGATTTTAAATAATAATAAATTGGCCATCTCCATCGGATGGTTCCAGTAATTTCCCAGTTCGTAGTCCTATGGCAGTTAACACATTAATGGGCTTCCATGCTGGACTTGCATCCCATTATAAGAATCTGACGTTATGATTCTATTATAAGACTTTAGGCTATAACGTGCTGATGTCGCAATTGAAGCTGTCATACTTATTATATTATAAATATAAGGGCTTACGGGATTCCTATAGTCTTTTAAAAAGTTTGATATCGCTTAACTGCGGGAGTTGCTCTGCTGTGCTTTGTACAAGATGGGTTGTTTAAGAAAACTAAAAAGATTTAGATTTAGGGTAGTCGTATGCGGAGTAATAGTACTTAGCTGTACTGTATAAAAATTAGACTGCTTAAGATATCCGTAAATATCTAACTATAAAAGGGCGGTTTCTGTAGCAAGTGTGCTCTGCGGTGATGTATAAAAGCTAAACTGCCTAGAAAATTAGTATATTTCAACTTATAGTATATCTTCTTGCTCGGTATAATTATTCTGTATTGTTAAATGTGATCCCGGTTACTTGAGATATCTATAAACGCTTATAAGTAGTACACTTGTGGCTTGATTAAAATAAAGATTTGGAGAAGGTATTGTGGATATATTCTGAGAAAGAGCCCTATTAATACTTTGCTGAGAAACAGACAAGTTCCGCAGCAATTAGCTGTCTTTAATTCTGTATTAGAAATCTTTCTTTATAACAGCAATATATACTAAAATACTTAGTACTTACTAAGCAGTTGGCTAGCTTCTAAGGTAAGATCAGGTGCAGCGGAGACGCGCTCTCTCATATTAACATTACCTGAATACTAACTCGACTTATTTTGAGCGGTGCTTATGGTATTTGCTTAAGAAAGGCCCCGGTTCAAGATCTTTTTAACTAATTTTAGAAGGGGATCAAATATACTTTTCACTTCATCGTCTGCAATGATATAAAGACCCCGTCTGGTAGCTTCAACAGGAATGTCCTGCTGCTTCAATTTCTGTATAATAGAAATTCTGCCCTAATTATCTGCCGACTTTAGAAGCTTTCTCTTCCAACTAGATTGCATTTAGGAAGATTGCAGCCGCATTTATTGAAACGTTACTTACAAGCTCTCTCCTCTAAGATTAGGAAGGATATATAATGCCCCGAGTCCTTCCAAATCATTAGCCAAAGACTTATATCTTTCACTATAACCGACCCAGGCGCGAATTCTTCTTTCAACAACATTAATTGGTTGATTGCTATAGTTAACATTACAGATTGTTCTGGCTATAAAATTAGCAGTACAATAATATTCGTATTGACTTTCTGGACTGATTTCTTGTTTAAGTCGATAGAATATAATATATAAGAATCTGAGACGAATGTTGCATAACTGTTGCTGTTCTTCTTAAAGCACAGTTGCTCTGTAGCAGTCTGCTAAAAAGTTTCCTAGAATTATCTCCGGAAAGTATTGTATCTGGTCTCTGCTCTCCAACCCATTTTCCGATTCTGATAGAGCTTGTAGAGCTGAAAAAAGAATCCTGTACCGCTTCTATAAATCTTATATAACTTGCGGAATCTTAATTTTTGTAGATAGACGCTTAGTCGCTCGTTTCAAGGCTGAATCATACACAGAGCCACGAATATCACGTGGAATATATCTGCAGATGTGCTTTAAGATGCTATTAATAATCTAAAACAAAAGACAATATTAGATTAAATTATTAAATTGGAGCTTGTGCAGCTTGTCTTATTTCTCAATATCTTTTTAGAATCCAATTCAGTTTTACTATTGTTTTCTGTAAGTTAACAAGCGACAAGAAGGCACTCGGCTAGCTCCTTACTCTCCGCGACACCCATTTAGACAAAAAGACGAATATTTGGTTTAGTAAAGCTGGTTGGTTAAGTGGGGGGAATAAAGCAGATTCTATCGATTTAAAGAGGGAGTTGAGATAGCTTATGTGGTGCCGGCTGGGGAGTTAATCCGAAGTTTGTGTAGCTACTTTAAGATTAGACATACGCTATTCTTTAGAGCAGCACTTCTATTGGATATTGTAAGCTCCAAACCACTAATATAGGCTTTCTTCCTTTTGATCAGAGATATTGCCTAGTCTCATCCAAAGTCACTCCGAGTATAAACATCTGTACCCGTACTATATATGAGCTATTCGGAGCGGATTGAGCGAATGTACGCCGAAAGAGGTATCAAACTAGTCTATCTCCCGCCCTATTCATCCGATCTGAATCTTATTAAGGAGTTTTTTGCTGAACTTAAATCTTTTATCCGTCGAAATTGGCACATTTACTAAAACGACACGGCCTAAGGGTTCGAAGCATACCTTGAATGATGTGTTAATAAAGTTAGAGCGAGAGAGCAAAGTGCAGAGGGGCACTTTCGGCATGCAGGATTGACTATTAAGTATTATAGTAGTAATAATTAAGCTGTTTTGACAGTGGTTAAGTGATCGCAAATTGTACAGTATGGTTGCAAATACCTATATCTCTATATAAACCACTATATGAAAAGACCGCCAAAGTACAAGATTCTTAAAATAACTCAAAGTCTTTGTTTCGATTGACTTTTCTATTCAGAAGCCAGTTATTGACTTTACCAACAAACCTGCGTGCGGCTCCCAATTTGACATCCTAACTGATAAAAAATTCGGGATTTTGATTATAGTAAATTTATTTAAGATTAAGACAATTCTCCAGTATCACATCACATGTTTTAATGATATTCTCTTTGAAACTGTCTGTGCTCACCCGTGAGAGGTGCCATACGGTGTATTCCTTAACAGCTACCTTAAAAGGCCCAGGGATATCAATAGCAGTACGGATAGAAGAATGGCTTGCAGAAAGAGGGTCAGTATTAGCTGGAGGAGATGCTGTTATAGACTGAGATAGTTGTGTAGGAAGTACATTGATATTAATTGGAAAGGTAGATCCGGTTGCAGAATATATAGAAGTCTTTTGTTGTAGCTTGAGTTGCTGCTGCTCCTCTATATATAGCTGTTTGCGAATACTGTCGGGTATATTATTATATGTTTAAATCACTCCATCCTCTTTTTCTACAAATCTTACTAACTTCTTCAGATGGTGCGTCCGTAGTCTGTAATACTTTTTGCCCACGGGATCCTGCCAGCAGTATTGTGATTCAAGGCGGTATGGTGCGCCAGGGCATCGTATTATTCTATATACATCCTGTTATGCTGAAGATTGTTTTGAAGAGTTTTCAGCATTAATCTCAGCATCTCGTGCGTTGAATATTATCTTAGTAATCGATGTTTGTCCCCGTTTATCGGTCCCAGTTGAAGGCGGTTCGAAATCTAAGTAATTAATAGAAATACAGAGCCGAAGCTTTTTTTCTTTTTAACACAAGCTCTTCTACATAGCAAGCTGCCTTTGTATGGCTGTCCAGTTAATATCAGTCTTCTTAAAGCACTTAGTCAGATCGCACTG